AAAATTTTTTTAAGTAGCATAGTATCACCTGAAGGTAAAGTGGGATACATTAAAGATTTATACTATAAACTTTAATGCAACCACTAAAATAAAACAAAGATGTATTGCTATATATGCCAACAGAGAAGAATGGAATAATAAAAATAATACAAAAGAAGGCATAAAAAGAGGAAAAGAGTACAAAGAGAAAACAAAAAGCAAGACATAAATTGTCTCAATACCCGCAGTGAAGAAGCAGAGTTAGCAAGACTGAGTTTAAAAAAACACACACACACACACACTCAAAATACTACCAACTATACAGTGCTGTGCCAAAAAGAGCTAACAACAGATCTGGGACTGCTATTCTTTGAGAGACCTGCTTTCAAAGGTGGCTTTTGACTAGCACCTGGGAATTTGGATTTAAGAAGGGTTCTCATCACTCCCTAACTGGTAAGAGTAGCTCACTATGCCTAACTTGTTTATATAAACAAGGTGGTTTGTGCTAAACACCTGCTTTCCTTCTCCTGAGAGCCTGGGATCTTGGCAAGTGCTAGGCTGAGGGTGCCCATATGAGCAGGCTCCAATAAAAACTTTGGGCACTGTGTCTCTTACAGAGCTTCTCTGACAAACAACATTTAACAAGTACTATCGTAGTCAATGGTAGAACAATTAAGCACATCTTGTGTGCCTACTAGTAGGAGAGGACTCTTGGAAGTCTGTACCTGGTTTCCTCCACACTTCACCCCAGGCACCTTTTCCCTTTGCTGTTTTTTGTTTTCTTTCTTCCTTTTTTCATTTCTTTTCTTTCTTCCTTCCTTTCCTTCTTTCTTTTGGCTATGCATGTGTGTCTTTTTTGCTCTAATAAGCCAAAGCTGTAAGTACAACTATAGACTGACTCCCTTGACTTCTAGCAATCTGCAAATGTGGTAATCTTAGTGACTTCCAGTATAGCTACCTACTAGAAATGCACTTTCAATATAAAAACACAAGTAGGTTCAAAGTAGAAGGATGAAAGAAGATATACTATGTTAACATAGCATCAAAAGAAAATTAGAATGTCTATATCAATATCAGACAAAGTAGGTTTCAGAGTAAGGAATATTACCAGGGATAAAGAGAGTAATTTCATCATGAAAAAGAGATTAACTCACCACAAGGATTTAAAACGCCTAAGCATTTATGCACCTACTCAGAGGGTTTCAAAATTCATTAAGTAAAAAGTGATAGAACTGAAAGGAAAAAGCAAATACAAAAACGAAGTCAGAGAATTCGAAACCCCTCTCTCAGTAATTGACACACCAAGTAGAAAATAATTAAGTATAAAGAAAATCTGAACGACACTATTGAACAAATTGATGTAATGAACATTTATAGAACACTCCACCCAACAACAGCAAAATACACATTCTTTTCAAGAATATACAAACATTTAGGGGAGTCTGGGTGGCTCAGTCGGTTGGGTGTCCGACTTCAGCTCAGGTCATGATCTCACGGTTCATGGGTTTGAGCCCTGTGTCAGGCTCTGTGCTGACAGCTCAGAGCCTGGAGCCTGCTTCTGATTCTGTCTCCCTCTCTCTAGCCCTCCCCCACTCACACTCTGTCTCACTCTCTCTCTCTCTCAAAAAATAAACATTAAAAAAAATTTTTTTAAAGAATATACAAACATTTAATAATAAACTTCATTCTAGATTATACAACACATCTCTAATTTCAAAAGATTCAAGTTTTACATAGTATTTCTCTGACTAAAATGGAATTAAACTAGACATCAGTAACAGATCTCTGGAAAATCCCAAAATATCTGGAAATGAACACTTTTTTATTTTTTTAAAGTATTTTTTTAATATTTATTTTTGAGAAAGAGAGCACGCGCAACATAGCACGAGCAGGGTACAGGAAGAGAAAGAGGGAGACACAGGATTTGAAGAAGGCTCCAGGCTCCGAGCTGACAGCACAGAGGCCCACACGGGGCTTGAATCCACTAACTGTGAGATCATGACCTGAGCCAAAGTCAGACACTTAACTGACTGAGCCACCCAGGCACCCCTTAACACATTTCTAAATAACCCAAGGATCAAAGAAGAAATCAAAAGGGAAGGAAGAAAGTTCTTGCACTGCATGAAAATGAAAACACAGTGTGTCAAAATCCATACAATGCTACTAACGCAGTAGTTAGGGGTTAATTCATAGCATTAAACCTCTATATTAGAAAGGAATATAGGTCTCAAAACAATGACCTCAGCTTCCACCATAACAAAGAAAAAGAGGAATAAAGTAGGAGGGAAAAATAAAGATCAAGGCAGAAATTCACAAAATAGAAAATGTAAAAAATAATAAAGGAAAATTATTAAAACCAAAAGCCAGTTTTTTGACAAAATCAGTAAAATTGTTAAACCTCCTGCCAGACTAATCACAAGAAAAAGAGAAGACACAAATTATGACCTATCATTATCACGTACCAGTATCTTATTGAAAAAGATCACACCACATTCTAACATAAGAATGATAGAGGACTGACATAAACAACTTGTTGCCAATAAATTCGACAAATTCCATGAAAGATAAACTACCAGAGCTTACTAAAAGAAAAATAGGTAACTTGAACATGGCTATATTATTAAAGAAATTGAATCTTTAGTTAAAAACCTTCCCACAGGGTTCCCTGGTGGCTCAGTCAGTTAAGCATCTGACTCTTGATTTCAGCTCAGGTCATGATCTCACGATTCACGAGATCCAGCCCTGCACTGATGGTGTGGAGCCTGCCTGGGATTCCCTCTCTCCCTCTCTCTCTGCTCCCCCACCTCAAAAATAAACAAACATTTAGAAAATAAGTATATGAATAGCTGCTCAACATTATTAGTTACAGAGAAATACAAGTTAAAACAATGAAATACCACCACAGAGCCTCTACAACAGCTATAATTAAAAAGACTGATAATCTAAATGTTGGTGAGAATGTGAGGAAACTAGAACCCTCATACCATGCTCATGAGGAAAACAAATTAATAGTCACCACTCTCAAAAACAGTTTGGCAATTTCTTCAAAAACAAATATACCTTAACCATATGACCCAGAAATTCCACTTCTAGGTATCTACCCAAGAGAAATTTTAAAATTAGTTGCATAAAGACTTATAAAAGAATGTTCACAGCAGGACTATTTATAATAGGCAAAAAACTGGAACAATCCAAATTTCCATCAAAGATCACTAAAGGAGGTATATTCATAAAATGGAATTCAGCATTAAAAAGGAACAAAGAGGGGCGCCTGGGTGGCGCAGTCGGTTAAGCGTCCGACTTCAACCAGGTCACGATCTCACGGTCTGTGAGTTCGAGCCCCGCGTCGGGCTCTGGGCTGATGGCTCAGAGCCTGGAGCCTGTTTCCGATTCTGTGTCTCCCTCTCTCTCTGCCCCTCGCCCATTCATGCTCTGTCTCTCTCTGTCCCCAAAATAAATAAACGTTGAAAAAAAAAAAATTTTTAAAAAGGAACAAAGAACTGATATACACAACAACATGGGTGACCCTCAACAACATTATACAAGTGAAAGAAAACAGATAATAAAGATGAGATAGAGTATGCTTTGGTTTACATGGAATTTCAAGGAAAGACAGAACTATAGACAAAAGCAGGTCAACGGCAGCCTGGAGATGGGAATGCAAAGGCACATAAAGAAATTCCAGGGGTCATAAAACTGGATTGTGGTGATAGTTTCAAAACTGTATGTATTTACTGTAACTCATCAAACTGTATGATTACAATGGGTGAAATTATAGGGTATTAATACCTCAATAAAGTTATTTTTTAAAAAAGTGGACTTTATACTCACCATTGTAGCCTTCAAGAACAGAATCAATAATAGGTCTTGCAGTTAAGTTATAAACATCAAGTTGTTTACTCTCTGGTCCAAACACAGTATCAAAAGTAAATGTCTTTGGAGGTTCATTGGAAGAATCAGTCTTATGTACAGTAATAGTTCCCCTCATCTCATCCACACTGACAGCTTGTTTATAGCACATTGATTTCTCTCTCTCGTTGAGGGGCCGGCACCTAACAACCACCTTCACATTATCACAGCTTTCAGGCTTCTCTGATTTATTGATCTGGTGAAGAAAATATTCACAAATAATGAAAAGAATATTTACTTTTACCTTCAGCAAATTAAATTTCAAATTTGAAAAAGGCTACTTTGCCATCCTAGTACCTTGCACATATTAAATACTCCATGAATATTTGTTAAATGCAATTAAAGATCTTACAGATATATAGAAAAGGCTTATTAAAAGATATGAAAAGGCAAATAGTTTTTTTTATAATACAAATGAGGGGAGAGAAAATCTAATTTACATTTATAGTAAATAAGTGCTATTCAAGCAGAAAATGAACCAGTATATTATAGACTGCCTTTCTGCATAAAAGTCCCTGACTTCCTCTGTGTTTCCTGCCTATAGGAAAACACACGTGAACATGGTTAACAACTTTAATCAAGAATATAGTAGTAGGTTCTGTGTTCCCGAGACTTTTATTTTCTACAATGCATTAGTCAAATGTTTTTTTAATCACGTAACTGTATGTAGTCTATCTTCTCTATAGAAGACAACATTAAATAAAACACAGAAAAGAAAGCCCAATAGCAGACATAAATGTTTTAGTATGCCTCTAACCTTATGAACATCTATACATGTAAAGTTTCAATTTTTGAAATTTTATGATTAAGACTCTATGTTAAAATATAATCCTTAACAAAGACAAATACTGTACGATTTCACTTATACGTGGAATCTAAAAAAAACAAATGAACAAACAAAACAAAACTTGTAGATACAAAGAACAGATGAGTGGTTGCCAGAGGGGAGTTGGGTTCGGAGGTAGACAAAATGGGTGAAAGGGATCAAAATGTACAAACTTCCAGTTATAAAATACATGAGTCATGTATAAATAATATATGGCATGGTGACTACAGTCAATAATACATATTTGAAAATACATATTTGGAAGTTGCTGAAAGACTGTATCTTGAAATTTCTCATAAAAAAAAATTTAACTCTGGCGAGGGATGGTAACTAGACTTACTGTGGGGATTATTTCACGAGGAATACAAATATTAAATCACGTGGTACAGGTGAATTATTATAGGTCAATTACACTTCAATTAGAAAAATACAATCCGGTTACTGAAGTAAAGGTCAATCGTTTAGTTGAACCGTACCAACACAAGATACCTCTCCCCTTCTCTACTTTCACCACATTAGTCTAGTCCCCATTCTCCCACCCTGCATTGTAAGGCTCCTTAATGGGACACCTGCATCTAGTTAGGTTCTCCTACAGTCTGTTCCCTACATGGCAGTCAGCTTCAACACAAATTTAATCATGACGCTCCCTTAGTTACAACTCGGCAAAGGCTTCCTGCTGACATCACTGACATAAGGACTGTGTATGAAAATCACAGTCCTTAAGGCGGCCTTTAAGACCTGGCTCTGGCCCATGTCTACTTGTCTAGCCTTATTTCACAAGTTTCCCTGCTTGGCTTTCTTAGCCACAGCCACACGGGTTTGTTTGGGTTTTTTTTAAGCCTTTTCTGTTCACCATGCTCCTTCTTACCACAAGCCTCTCCATGTGCTGTTCCTTCTGCCTAGAACATTCCTCACTCTCACCTTCACTTAGTCTCAGATCTCACCAAAACAGCCACTTCACTTGGAAAGACTTCCCTAACTAGGTCAAATCCTGGTATAGGCCCTGAGAGCACCCTACTCTCTCCCTCCTCTACAACGGTTTCAATTCTACTTTGCTTCTTATTTGACTGTCTGTCCTATCTGTCTACACTAGAGGTTGCGAACTGGTATTCAAGGGACCGAATTCAGCCCACAAATACTTTTTGTTTGGCTCATAGGATTTAAAAATATTTTTTAATTAGTTGCTAAAATTCAAAAATGGAGAAATTTCATAAAAATAACAATTTCTAGATTCTCTTGGAAAAAAAACGATGATTTGGGTGGCTCAGTTGGTTAAGTGTCTGACTTTGGCTCAGGTCACCATCTTGTGGTTCGTGGGTTTGAGCCCCGTGACCAGCTCTGTGCTGACAGCTCAGAGCATGGAGCCTGCTTCAGATTCTGTGTCTCCCTCTCTCTCTCAAAAATAAACATTAAAAATAATTTTTTAAGAAAAAAAAGATGATCTGACATGTATAGGCCAGCGTTCCTACATAGAAACACCTTACAACTCACCAGAAGCTACTTTCTATTATATGCCACCCATTCACTTCGTTAATGTTAAGGGTCTTGTCTCTACCAACATGATTTTCACCTCTGCCCATTAAGGCAAGCTTCTATCTTCCCAAGTTCAAGAACCTGTCTGGCTTTGCTCAATATTTTACCTCCAGTGCCTAACATGTGATTGATTCCCAGTATTTGCTGAGTGAACTGATAAATAACTTGAAAGCAAGATCACGGAACAAATACTAAGCATTTAATGCTAAATGTCAAGTAATGTCCTTCAATTCCGTTGTGCGTTACCTTATTTCATCCTGATAAAACCCCATGAGGAAAAGTTTAATTACGTGGGAATTAAAGACCCAGAAAGATTAAATAATTGTCCGAGGCCTCAGACCAGAAGAAAAACAACCAAAGCCCTATGTGTTCTCCATGACCCTATAATGGACTTAGGACGCCCCCTATTAAATGTACGATAATGTCCTGTGAAATCCTACAAGACAAACATACCACCCAACCCCCGGCCTCACACACAAAGACACCTACGGGTTACATTCTGCACTGTAAGCGAAAGCACCACGAAAGGAATGACAGCTCGAGTCAAGGGCTGGAGTAAGAACAGGCAGCTCTCGTTTCGCTCCTTTACGGAGCTGGGCTCCTTGGCGTACAGACCCCACCAGGTGCGGAGCATCCAAAGCCGACCCCCCGCGGCCGCTCCCAGGCGCCCCACTCAGCTAGCAGGGTTGGGAGCGAGAGCGCATCCTCAGGCGCTGTGCCTTTATGTCAAGCAGCACAGGCCCTGCGGGATGCAGCACCGGCGAAGACAGCAGGGCCTGCCCGGGGCCCCTCCCAGGACCGGCAGGATCCTCGCGGGCTCGAGCCCACCCGCCAGGCTCCCCAACCGCTGGGGCCAGCAGAGCTGACCCTGCCCCGCCCCACCCCAGACGCCTGCCTGTTCCGCGCCTCCATGGCAACAGCCGCGCCCCCGAGCCAGGCCGCTGGGATGAGGAATCCCAGCAGCTGAGCGACTCTCCTCACCGGCATCGTGGCTCCCTCCTGTGCCCCGCTGACGTCCCCGCCCTGGGCGCAGTCCAACGGCGCCGGGTTCGCAGGAGAGGTTTGTCAGAGATTACCGAAATACCGCCTTGGCGCTCTCGAGACTGCGGCTCCTCGGGCGAGAGCAGGCTGTGCGCAAGCGCACTGCGAGCTCGCCCCGCCCCGTCCCCGGGCCTCAGGCTCTCTCGGCCTTCTGAATTACGCCTGCGCGGAAGCTTTCCGAGTCCGTCTCCTAGGACGCCAGACTAAGGCTGCGCCTGCGCAATGCTGCCATTCGACTGCGCTAGAACTCTGGCCCGCATTGGGGCGGGGATACCTGGCTGCCACCGGTAGGCAGGGGGAGGCGCTCCTAAATCCCGCGACTACCTTTCTGGCTCTGGCAATATTCCCAGTATTAAAAACAACCATAGGGGGGCACCTGGGTGGCTCAGTCGCTTGAGCGTCCGACTTAAGCTCAGGTCATGATCTCATAGTCCGTGACTTTGAGCCCCGCGTCGGGCTCTGTGCTGACAGCTCAGAGCCTGGAGCCTGTTTCAGATTCTTTGTCTCCCTCTCTCTGCCCCTTCCCCGCTCATGCTCTCTCTCTTCTCTCGAAAATGAGTAAACGTTAAAATAAAAAAAAATTAAAAAAAAAAACCATAGGAAAAAATTTAAAAAGCAGTTGTACACTGCGTCCAAGCGGAGAGCGAAAGACTCAGCCTGATTGCTGACTTGTTTATGACCTCTCTTACAGATAAGGTCATAAGGAGCTTTGTAGGTGTTTTCACAAGTATCTCCAGAGCCTAAAATAGGACTTAAAATAGGACCTAGCACAGAGTAGGTTTTCAATAAATATTTGTGAAAGAACGAATGATCTGGATCCATCTTCTTTCCTGTCTGAAGCTCGCTCTGAACACCAACTACTGGGCTTGGATGTGCAATAGGCTTTTCAAGATCATCCTTGTCAAAAATTGAAAGGTTGATTCCCTCCCCCGCCCACACACACACTGCTACTGCCCATCCCCACCCCAAACCCCTGGCGAAACGTTAAAAAAAAAAAAAAAAAAAAAGGTGCCCTCTCAGACTTGCCTCAGCATAATAAATCTAAGCTGAATCCTGACAATTGCTCAGGTCAAACCAGTCTCTTTTTCTCATACCCAATAATCAAGCTTTAAGCAGAGCTGCTTGTTTCTATCTTCAAAGTAGAACCAGAATCTAACCCTTTCTCACTACCACGATCACCTGTTATCTGTATTACTACAACAGCTCAAAACTGGTTTCCTTGAGTGCACCCTTGTCCTCTTTTAGATGTTTTCAACACAGGAGCCAGAAAGATGGTGTTTAAACATGAATCAGATAGTGTCTTTTCTCTATTCAAAACCTGCCGATGATTTCCTATCTCACAAACTGAAAGTCACAGGCCGTTTCCCCACTTCCTACAATCTTCCCTCTTGCTCATTATTTTGCACCAGCCCCACTTGGCCTCCTTCAATGGACCTTCCGGGCATGGTTCCATCTTAGAACGAAAGAGCTTTTGCACTTGCAGTAGGAAATAATAAAAACATCTATAAAGCATTTTACTTAGTGCCAGTGTACTATTCTAAGTGCTTTACTTTCTTTTTTTATTATTTAATCCATATAAAAACCTTTTGAAATAGGTACTGTTAGTCATTTTACTAGAAAATAAGAACAAGTATTTTACAGATAAACAAACTCACGTACAGAGCCATTAAGTAACCGTCCAAAGTCAGACACAGGGGCAGTGACAAAGCTCAGATCCAAACTTAAGCCCTGGAAAGCTCTCCCTCTAAATATCCCGATGACTCCCCTACCTCTTTCAGAATGTCTTTGTTCACACATCACCTTCTCAATGAGTCCTACCATGACCTCTCCACTTAAAATTTCAGCTTTCATCACCCATCTTCTTATATCTTCTCCCTATTTTATATTTTTCCATAGTATTTATCACCATCTAATATACTGTATATATATATTATGTAAACACATATACATAGCTTTCTTGAGATATAATCAGACATCATACAAGTCACCAATTTAAATTGTAAACATAAATGGCTTTTATTATATACACAGACTATAACCACAATCAATTTTAAACATTTTCATCACCCCAAAAAGGGACTCTATATTCATTATAGTGACTCCCACTCATCCCACCCACTCCTCGCCAACATCCTAGCCCTAGGCAATCACCAATCTACTTTATGTCTCATAGGTTTGCCTATTTGGAACATTTCATATAAATTGAATTATATAATATGTGGCCTTTTGTGAATGACTTCTATCACTTAGAGTAATGTTTTCAAGCTTCAGCCCTGTTGTGGAATATATCAGTAATTCTGTACTTATAAGGCTGAGTAATATTCCGTTATGTGGATATACCACATTTTTATACATTTGTCACTTGATGGACATTTGGGTTATTTCTACTTTTTGGCCATTATGAATATTGCCACTACAAGTTTCTGTGTGAACATGTTTCATTTCTCTTACATCTGATATGCCTACAAGTGGAATTGCTGAGTCATTCAGTAACTGTAATGTTTAACATTTTGAGGAACTACTGAACTTTTCTCTACAATGGCCACACCATCAGCAATTTTTCATTCTCACCAGCAACGTTATGAGGTTTACAATTCCACCACATCCTCAGCAACACTTGCTACTTTCTTGTTTTGTTTTGTGTTTTGTTTTTATAGTCATACTACTGGTGTAAAATAGGATCCTATTACAGTTTTGATTTACAATTTCTTGATAACTAATGATGCATTTGCTTTCACCTGCTTATTGACCATTTGGACGTCTTCTTTGGAGAAGCGTCTGTGCAAATCCTTTGCCCATTTTGTCTTTTCATTATTAAGTTGTAAGAGTTCCTTCTGTATGCTAAATACAAGTCCCTTTTGGGATACACAGTATGCATAAATTTTTCTCTGTGAGTTGTGTTTTTAATTTCTGGAGAGCATTCTTTGAAGCTCAAAAGTTTTTTGATTTAGATCACATACAATTTATATATTTTTTTTCTTTTGCTGTTTCTTTCGTTGTGCTTTTGGTACATATCTAACAAACCATTTCCTAACCCCAGGTCATGCAGACTTATTCTTCTAAGAATTTTATAGTTTTAGCTCATACATTTAGATCTATGATGTATTTTGAATTATGTTTACATAATAGTGTGGTACAGGGATCCAGCCTCATTGTTTGCATATGAATATCCAGCTGTCCTATCACCATTTGCTGAAAAAACTATTCTTCCCTCCACTGAACCATTTGTAGCACCCTTGCCAAAAATCAGTTGATCATGAATGTGACTGTTGATTTCCAGACTCTCAATTCAATTCCATTGATCTAAATGGCTAACCAAATGCCAGTACACCTTGATTGCTATAGGTTTGTAGTAGGTTTTGAAGTCAAATAGTATGAGACCTCCATCTTTGTTCTCTTTTTTCAAGATTGTTTTGGCTATTGTGAATCCTTTGCATTTCCATGGAAACTTTAGAAACACCTTGTAAATTTCTGCAGAAAGCCATCTGGAAACTTAACAGGAATTACATTGAATCTATAGATCAATTTGGTAAGTATTGCCATTTTAACAATGCAAGTCTTTTAATCTATGAACATGGAATGCCTTTCCATTTATTTATGTCTTCTTTAATTTCAGTGATGTTTTGTCATTTTCAATATGTAAATAATGCAGTTTTTGGTTGTATTCTTGAATATTTTAGTCTTTTGTATGCTATTGAAAATGGAATTATTTTCTTTCTTTTTTTTAAGTTTATTTATTTTGAGAGTGAGAGAGAGTGTGAGCAGGGGAGGGGTAGAGAAAGAGGGAGAATCTCAAGCAGGCTCCACACTGTCAGCGCAGAGCCCACTGTGGGGCTCGATCCCGACAACCATGAGATCAAGTCCTGAGCCAAAATCAAGAGTTGGATGCTTAAGTGACTGAGCCACCCAGGCATCCCTGGAATTATTTTCTTAATTTTATTTTCAGATTGCTCATTGATAGTGTATAAAAAATTGATTTTTTTCGGGGCGCCTGGGTGGTGCAGTCGGTTAAGCGTCCGACTTCAGCCAGGTCACGATCTCGCGGTCCGTGAGTTCGAGCCCCGCGTCGGGCTCTGGGCTGATGGCTCAGAGCCTGGAGCCTGTTTCCGATTCTGTGTCTCCCTCTCTCTCTGCCCCTCCCCCGTTCATGCTATGTCTCTCTCTGTCCCAAAAATAAATTAACGTTGAAAAAAAAATTAAAAAAAAAAATTTGATTTTTTTCTAGTACACTGCCTTTGTACTCTGAACTTCCATGAACTTATTACTTCTAATAGTTTTTTAGCAGATTCCTTAGGATCTTCTATATACAAGATCTTTATTTCTTCATCTGAAAGATAATTTCATTAGATACACAATTCGAGGTGGGTAGCATTTTTCTCTCAACACTTTAAATATCTCGGCCCACATCTTGCTTGCATGATCTCTGAAGAGAACTGAAATGTAATTCTTATCTTTGCTCTTCTATAGGTAAGTTTCTTCCCCTCCCCGTCTCCAGCTTCTTTCAAAACTTTATCTTTGATTCTCTGTAGTTTGAATGATATGCCTAGGTATACTTGGGGGGCATTTATCCCACCTGGTGTTCTTTGAGATTCCTCGTTCTGTGGTTTGGTGTCTCATATTACCTGAGGAAATTCTCAGTCATCATCACTCCAAATATTTCTTCTATTCCTTTTTCTTTCTTCTCCTTCTGACATTTGCATATATTTTAATGTAAATTCAATGTAATGTAAATCTTAATGAAATATATCTCACGTAAATAAAAGTGCACAAATCAAAAATGCACCACCGCTTGATCAGTTTTCGCAAGGCGAACACGTGTGTAATCAGCATCCAAATCAAGAAATAGAACATTTCCAGCCCTGGAAGCTCCTTGTGTTCCTTCCCAGTCACTATCCACGGCCCTCTAACGGTAACCACTATCTTAACTCTTAACGTTACAGATTTCGTTTTTCTTGTTCTTATACTTTATGTTAATGGAATTATACAGTATGACGTCTTTTGTCTCTGTCCCTCAACATTCAGTATTATGTTTGTGAGATTTTTTTCTTGTTGGGTGGAGCATTAGTCCATTCTTTTTCAATGTGGTGTAGTATTCCATAGTGTGAACATACAAAAATT